TTATTGTTAATAGAGAAAGAGATTTAATGACTAAATAATTATAAATTTAAATTTATTATTTTTATTTTATTTTTTAAATAAAATTAATTAATAATACAAGATAATATAATATCTTATCAGCTTTATACTTTCTTTTAGATACTATTAACATGTATAGATTTTAATTTCAAATAAATTTTATTTAAAGGAGTATTAATTTCAAACCTGCAAGTTTGAAATTTAATAGACTATTGAAGGAGTGTATTAAAGGTATATATTAGAAAATAATATAAATTATATTATTAAAAACTTAAATATTTGGTTTACATATATTATTCATTGGCACTGTAAACATCAACGACCGTCTAGGTCTTTGGAGTTTTCTGGGATTGATCCAGATGCTAGCGGCAAGAAGACGAAAGATTCACCTAGACACAAACAATATATTTTTTTCTATTACCCATTTTTTTAGCAAGCCTTTCTTGCAATCTAATTGCAGTCATCTGATAACTATTGACAATGCCTTCTATTAATATATGTTACTTGAAGATAAAAAAATTGTTCCCAACAAAATATTGTAAAATATAACTAAATAAATTGGAAACAGAAATGTATAGACAAGGCAAAAGGAATTGGATGATCCTATATTGTGATTCAAACGTTTTATTTACATGACTTGAAGAATAACGAAAACATGAATACTTAAAATTCCGAAATAAAATTAACATTAATTCACGTCATTTCCGAAGTTGCCATGTCCTTCTCTCTATGAATTTTTCCATGCCCTTAATTATACCCATCATAATCAGTTTCATCATCATCCATGTCATCAGAGTTTTGCTTCTTCATATTCATCTTCATCAGCCATGTCTTCCACAACCGACACCTCTTTTGTCCTCCCTAGACCACCATTGAGCCATTCCACCACCTTCATCATGCTAGGCCGATTCTCCACGTTGGTATCGGAGCATCGCATCGCGATCATGACTGCTAGGTTAAGCTGTGCTCGGTCATATCTTCCCTTCAACCTAGGGTCGGCAATATGATCAAAGGCACCCTTTTGAACATATGGTGTTGCCCATTGAACAATGTCACGCTTAAGCCCTCCCGGGAGCTTCTCTAATGGTTTTTTAGCACTAATGATCTCTAAGAGTAAAATTCCAAAGCTATAAACATCACAACTCTCCGAAACTTTCCCCCACATCGCATATTCAGGAGCCAAATATCCTAGAGTTCCCTTTACCCTGGTGGTCATGTGACTAACCCCATCTGGTATCAGCTTTGCAAAACCAAAATCTGCTACTTTTGCTTGAAATTCAACATCTAGAAGAACATTACTTGCCTTTATATCCCTATGTATTATATGAGGATTGGCCTCATGGTGCAAGTACCTAATTTTCAAAGAGTAACAGCATAATTTCATAAACAATTAATTCCATGACAACACCTTATGATTAGATAAAACACACACACAGACACACATGTACAGTCAGCTCCGTAAATTAAAACAACATGTAGATTAATTTACTTACGCTATTCCCTCGGCTGATCCTATCATTATGTTCATCCTCCGGTTCCAATCTAGTAAGCAATCCTCAGCGACTTGGCCATGCAGATGGGCTATCAAGCTATGATTAGGCATGTAATCATAGACTATTAACCTTTCGTTTCCTCCTGCATAAAATCCCCTTAAACCTAACAAGTTCTTGTGCCTCACCCTACCAAGCATCTCAACTTCCACCGCGAATTCCATCTCTGCCTTTGAGCTCATAGCCTTCAGTCTTTTAACTGCTACCTGATAGAGTAAATTGAAGAGACTAGATTATATAGTTTGTTGTGCCTATATATCGAAAATCAAAGGAAAAAAAAGATGGACATGATTATTGCCTCAGTTCCAGTACTTGTTCGACCCCAGTATACGCTTCCAAATCCACCTTCTCCAATCTTGTTATCATCATGAAAGTTGTTTGTGGCATGAAGAATCTCCTTGAGAGTGTAGATTTCCCATGGATATTCCCTACTACTACTTTTTTTACTGTGTGCAATGAAAACGAGGGAAAAATTAGTGCTAATCAATCATTTAATCTCTACAACCTTATGAGAGTATAGAACGTTTTCTACGGAGCATACCTGATCTTTGGTTCTTCTTCGACTTCTCGGTAGACACAACAAAAACATTTCAAGATCATTTTAGAGCTAATTATTGAAATAAAATAAAAGGTGATCGAGCAAGAACAAGCATAAATAATAATGAGGGGCTTAAAGCACTAGAGGAGGTGTCTAGGGGTGAAGACAAAACGCAGCCTTGGAAGACAGGTATACTTGCTGGTGATCACTGGTATGATGGTGTGGAAACAAGATAGAGTTTGTCCTGAAGAAGCTTACAAGCTGCTGCTTGTATTATATTGCTTGTTAGTTTCTATATGCATCTACTTGTCCCTTTGGAAATGTAACATTATTATTAATTAATTAATACTTAAAATATTAATTTATATCTTGATATAGTTTATAATACAACTAGTGTACGAGTGACGGTATTATTTTGTGCTATTGAAAGTGACATGATGATAATTTTCTGATGGCTTTTGAGCACCTGCCAATCAACATGGACCTTCCAACTGATTGACCATCTTTTTGTAATTGCTTCATGAAGCTATTTTACAGTAATTTAACCATACAAAAGAATTTAAAATTCTTGTTTGAATCAAAGGGTTAAGTAATGAATTAAGAGGTCATACATCAGAGATAATTACTAGCAGCCTGTTTCCAACTCTTTCAGACTTGAATAATTCCTGAACATGTCATTGAAGTGATAATTGGGGTATGAAAAGGCATCAACCAATTTCGGTTTTTATATGCTGTCCATATTAAAAAACGAGATAGAAAACTTAGTGTTCTAAAGATCTCAAACTTTTAGATCCAAAAGAAAAAAGGAATCCATGAAAATGTTATTTTGGGAATCAGACATTTTTAACTCTATCGGTGTATTCTAAATTTACATTTTTTAATTCTTCCATTGATGCTAGATATTCTTGGTGGCCTTCCATTGTCATATTTTGGCAACATTCCTATGAAAAAAAGAAAAAAGAAAAAAGAAAAGGCCATATGACCTGAATAGGCCCGCATTGATAGTGTTGACGATGTCCTAACTTTGCCCATAATCAATGATTTCTAGGCTTTGCATATAAATCCTTTAACCGATCTCCAGGCCCGAAGCCCGTAATATTGAGAAACTTTCAAGCAGTCCATTTCAAATTATCAATTCCCTTGCCTTTGTAAACATTATTATGGTATGCCAATGTACTATTTTAGAAACTACAATTTGCATGTAAATACATGTATATGTGTATACATTTTGATTGATTGGTTTACACAATCTCTTTCTTTAATTGCTTTATTTAAATAAAAAAAGATATTTATACGATTATATACATAAGATAATAAATAAAATAATAGTAACTAGGAATGGACCATTGTAGATGCTATAATACTATAAACTTAAATATTTTTTTGTTCAATTTAATACCTTGTACCTCTCACAAATTTTTAGCTGGCGTTTCCAAACTCTAAAAAATCATATATCATCCAATTTGCACTCCCAATCCTAAATTTTTTATTTTGCCCCAAATAGTAACTACAACTTTTGTTTATATGAATATAATTCGTGTAACAATATTTAAATCGAGAAATTAATAAATGAATTTGGTGGGAAGACCTTCTCAAGGATGATTATTTGGGCTAGAACTCCAATGAAATATTCATATTCCTTGGGAAAAAAAAATGTGACCATATTTTCCTATCCTATCACATGCCGTCTCCTTCTTCCAAATATATATAATCATATGAATGCAAGTGGGAATGTGAAATGAATATTCCCGATAATTAAACTAACTGAAAATGTTTACAAAACTTGATTCATAAAGGATGTCGTGCACCCTTTCTTAATTCATCTACAAATAGATTAAGCATATATAAGTGTGCAAAGACATACACCAAGAGACATAGATAACTCTATTGGAGGGAAAAAAAGGATTGATATATACATAACCTATGACCTATTCAAAGAACGCCAAAATTAATCTAATTTCGAAAGCATCTACTAGATGTAGCAATAAAACAACACGTACCCAACAGCATAGCATACGTCATATATAGTATGTCATGCTCAAATTACAATTCCATCATATCTCCCACACGGTAGCTTTGATTTCATTAATTCCTTACTTTGTCGAGGCTTACCTCATCTCCAAGCTTAATGTAATTACTTTTTGAATAGTAATTGAAAAACATAAATATAGATGTTTACATAATGCATACCTGGCCGCGAGGTTGAACGATTCTTTTTTTTAATATATTTAGCCGTCGCAAGGGTTGTTCTAAAAAAGAAAACAATATATTTTATTCGTATTAAGACCAATCTGAATTGAATAAGCTGAATTTATTTTAATTAAACAAATAAAAAATAAAAAAATAATAGTAGAAGAATTGGGTTTAAAAAAAAGTGATTAGGATAATTTGAAGAATAATTTTTTTCAAAATGAAACAAACAATAAATATAAAAAAATAAAATGGGGTAAAAAAATAACATAAAAAACTAGTCTTTTTTAACACTGTTTAGCATGAAAAACATGTAATTCCATAAATCAGGGTTGACCCAACTAATTGAAATATCCTATTAAACTCACAAAACAAATAATGAGATTAGAATAATTAAATAAAAAAAAGGGAATTGTAAAGCTTTTTTTCTTAAAAAAATTGTGCTAACTTTTCAAATTCATGACTAGAGTCATTAGACCTAAAATATCCTATTTGAAAAAACTATTAAGTCCAATTCCTAATCAATCAAATATTAAAAAATAAAATTAAAATAAAAATTTTTAATTATACAAAATGATTATAAAAAATAGCAAATAGAATGATGATCAAAATTAAAATATAAAATAAATTTATATTTGATTGAAGGATAAAACTGAAAAGAAAAATCAATTTAGTAAAAGGATAAAAAATAAATTATAAGAATGAGGATAAAAATTGATATGAAAATAAAAATAAAATTTTGGTTGATTGGATAAATTCAATCCAATAATAATTTTTACAAAAAAAAAGAGAAAAAAACTAGAAATCAAAATGATGAGGATCAAATTGAAAAATATGATACCATCAATTTGGATTGAAGGATAAAATCAAAACCTAATAAAACTTTTATAAAAGAGTGAACAAAAACTTAAAAATAAAAAAAATAAGAATTGAATTGAAAAATATAATATATGATAAATTAGGATTGAAGGGTAAAATTAAAAACAAATAAACCTTTACAAAAAAAGCGAGAAAAAATTAAAAATTAAAAAAATAAAGATTGAAATTGAAATACTAACAATAAAGATAGCCAAACTATAATTTTCAAGGAAAGAGAAATAAGAAAAAAGAGATTCACTAGTGACAAACTAAATCACTAATACAACTTATATTGCTCTACAGGAAAGAGAACACAAACAACTCTTTTAATAACAAACACTAGAAGGCACCCTAAGTGTGTTAGCACCTTTTGGTGTCTTACACATGCTTGTATTGAGAGAGAGAGAGAGAGAGAGAGAGAGATTGAAAACATGTTTGAAACACTGACAATCAGTTTGTAACTATAGTGTTTTTTCAAGGTCAATTAGAAACATGCTTGAAATAAAAAAAATACTAATTTAATACTTTTTATATGTTTATGATATATTTATCATACGTATGCGGCGTCGCGGCGATCGTTTAATCACTCAAAAAAATGATGTTTATCTAGAAAACATAGGAAGATAATAGATTCTTGTCTTTAATCAGTTGAAAATTTGAATGGGAGTCGCTACCTAGTATTCTGGTCACTAAGAACCCTAACTGGTCTCGGAGATAGGGTTCAAAAATTGGTAATGTAAGAGAAAAGGTATTAGCACCCAAAATACGTCTTATCTAAGGTAAGCTGTATTGTTTTATTGTCTAATAAAATCTAAGGTCTTGTTGTTATTTTTAATTATTGGTCCTGTCTGTTTAAGATTTGAGAAAAACCCTTCTTTGTAAGGAGGTTCTTATTTTAATGAGGTAAAATCTAACTGTTCTAGTGTTTGAAAAAAAAATTAATATCTGGAATACTTAATACATGCAATTTCATGCCTTGGATATTAAAAGATAAACAAAATAAAAAATTTAGTTGTTTTTAAAATTTTGGTCAATGTTCTATCGACTTTAATAAATTGGTTATTAAAGTCAAAATGCATACTAATTTTTTTTTTAATGTATGAAAAACACAATATGATTTTTTAGTTCTGAGACACTTGATCTTATGCATAATTGTTTTTAAGTTAATGAAAACCATGTATTTTAATACCATATTTTTATAGTTTTATGACATAAAATACAAACCGATATTAAATAAAATAGCATAAAATAAAATGCGTGGAAATCATAAAATTTTAAACTTATTTTTTTTTTGTTGGGTTGGACCCGACACACCATTGCAGGTTGGACCAGACATGGCCCAAGATCCATAAGCCCAACCCACATCAGCTAGTTATTGTGCATAAGCATAGTAACCAGCTTCACCTTGCCTATAAAGAAGTAACACAAGGAAAAAAAAGGGAAAGGAAGAAACAAAAACCAAAGAAAAAAAGGGCAGAGTTTCTTTACCTAGATAAGTAATGCAACCTTAGTCATCAGTGATAGCTAATAATGGTTATGGTTTCAATGGGGGCATTGTTAGTGGCAGCTTTTTCTCTGTTTTCTTTTTCTTTTTCTCTGTTTTTCTTGTTTTCTTTCTCTCTTCCTCTTTGTTTTTTTTTTTGGTTTCCTTTTCCCTCTTTTTTCTCTCTTCTCTTCTCTGTCCCTTTTTCTTTTGTGCTCCCTCTTCCCTTATTTTTATAGGTAAAAAACAGGGGAGTCTGTACCTCTCCGCCGCATGGAATGTTTTGGGCAAGTGGGGGTCTTTGATCAACGTCTTTTGATGTTAAAAGAAGGAAGAAAAGGTAGTGAAAATAGATAAGAGCACAACTCCCTTCCCCTGTTTCTCTACACATCCAGGGTAAGAAGAAAGTTTGCAATGCCATTCAAAACAACATCATTTCGAGGTTTTTTTTTAACAGTGGATGAAATGACGTTGTTTTGGATAAAATACATTGTTTCATTTAAAAGAAAAAGGTGACAAAAACTTATGTAAAAGTCCAAATCAGTCTTCACTTTGTAATTTGTTCAATCAAGTCCTTAATTATAATTTTAATTTAAAATCAATGCAATTGCATCCTTGACAAAAATCAAACAGCGGCCCTAAAGTTGGCTGCCTATTTTACTTTGGTTCTTGATCTTG